GCTAGATTGGATCAAGTGCTCAACTTATAAAAGCATTTGCAATTGACAGACAATCCTGCAGAATTTGCCTAGAGATGTCAGTTCCTAGAAGGAAGCATGGGACCAGGGAAGTAAGAGTGTTTGGGGGTAGGCAACAGATGTCCACAAGTCTGTGGAAGGACACTTTTGGATTAGGTCCACTGGCTGCAGTGAGGGTTTTGGGTCGGGCAGTGTGAGGTATAGTGTTACAGACAGGACCACTTTAACAGAAACTGTAGTCCCAGGGAAGAGGGCCTTTCCTTAGAGGGGGATGTTCATAGGACAGGCACCATTGCCAACCTCCAGCATGGGGGCAGTGGAGCATTTAAACATTTAAAAACATTTTTAAAAGGCAATTCTGTTGATATAATGTTAAAACCAGTAGTCCCTAAATATACTATTGAAGATATTCTTAGGGGTATGGGAAGAAAATGTTAGAATTTCTAATGTTTATTATTTTTATCTAAAAATGAAAGGTAGATTAAGCTTTACTAATTCTTAATAAATGGATGATACTGGCATCCGTGCTCTATCCCTGTGTGAAATGGTGCTGTTACTTCAAGTCCAGTAGTGTCAGAGAGATGACAGTATCACTCTCTCTTACTCATTTATGCCTTTGCAATGTATTGTAATTTAAATACAGATTTAGAGATTATATGATCTAATTTCAGTTAATCTAATTCTTCAAAATGGGCAAATAGCTTTAAAAGGTTGTTTCAAAAGGAACTGTAATGATGAGGGGCTAGGAACTATTCTGAGTGCTTTGTGCAGATTATTCATTTAATTCTTTAGAAGATTCTAAGAGGTAGATGCTATCTATCACAAACCCCATTTTGCAGGTGGGAAGCTGAAGAACAGAGTGGCTTAATTTCCCAAGGTCAAGTAGCAGAACCAAACTTGAACCTAGACAGTTTGGCTTCATGCTTCAGATGCGCTTAGTTGCCATGCTGTGCTGTTTCTGGGGCAGACGGTTATTGAATGACTTCAAACAAATCGCTGTATTAAAATCTATAACCCACAGTTTACCAAAAAAGCATATTCGTTTTATTGCTCTCACTTAAATATTAATGATTTTTAGTGAAAATAAAATAATGTAAGACAAAAATTAAAAATGTTCACTTCATTTTAATCACATTTGTTATATTTAGTGTACATACTGTAGTACAGATATAATTTATAAATATGCATATATTAGAGAGATGGTCTTAAATGATCTTATTGATGGGGACATAATAAATATTTGTGGGGGACATTTTTAAGATGTAGAGAAAAAGTCATTAGAGAAAGCAAGGATAAATCATTGTGTTCAGTATACAATTGGAAAAAAAAAATCAATGATCAGGCCTTTAGTAGGAGAGTGGCAACTTTTAAAATGTATTTCCCCTGATTTTAACTCAAGTCAGACCTTTGATTGTCAGAATTAGCGGAAAAAATATAGGGTAGGTTTCAACATTAAATAATGTCTTTTTTAGGAAAAAAATTGAGCATTTAGAAACAAGGAGGACAGAGGAAATCATCTGAGGCACGTTTTTTGTATGAGCGTTTACTTGAAGGATATAATTTTAGGTTTTAATAGTAATATTAAAGATCAAGGAAATCACCCGGCCTATGTGGCTCAGTGGATTGAACATCATCCAATGCACCAACAAGTCACAGTTTGATTCCCCTTCAGAGCACATGCCTGGGTTTCCGGTTCTGTCCCCAATAGGGGCTTGCAGGAAGCAGCCAATTGACGATGTTTCTCTGTCATCAATGTTTCTATCCCTCTCCCTTCCTCTCTCTTTCTAAAACTCAATAAAAACATATTTTTAAAAAAATCAAGGACATTGAAAAAGTTTCAAAATTATGAATAAGATTCAAAGTTAGCATATTCTGGAGAAATATTTCAACCTTTAATATTTCTTTGGTGGGATAGATGAAGGTAAGTAAAAGACGACCATACTAGAAAATCTCAAATAATTCATTATAAAAGTATATCAAGCTTTATTATAAAATTTTCTAATATACTGTGAGGTGATGTCTTGTTTTTTTCTACCTCCTCTGTGGAAGTTGTTTGAGTCCCTTGTTGCTTATTCTTTAATAAAAATATCCAAATTATGGAGATTGTATCTTCTCTTCAGTTGAAAGAGCCATTATTGGTCATTAGAGTGTGGTACAAATCTTAGTGCTTTTCAGAGTAGTAGTGAGTAATTGGTAAATTAATCTTTACAATTATAGATTCTTAATGCTGATGACCTTAGCCTCTAGATAAGCTTTATTGAAATACATCCATAGTTATATTTATAATCAATAATATTAATGCATCATCATCATACACTTTTTTAGCATTTCTCTAGAAAGCTTTTAAAGCATCTGCCTTTATGAAATCAGTTCTTGGCTTTGATTAGCAATGAGAATGGAGAAGTCATATATCCTCAACTGGGTCTCGTGTCCCCATTTCTGTTTTTGTGGTATTGTTTAACTTTTGTTCCTCTTTTCCTGAATGTCTCGTAAATTGGTAATTAGATCTAGGTACTTGATAAAAGTTTAGTGGTTTTGTTTTGTAAGACAAGAATACTTCATAGGAGATGTTAGTTTCTTGGTGCATCACAACACGAGAATAAAAGTTTGGTTGTTCATTTTTAATGATGCTGGAATGAATGCATGGGGGATTCAGGTCTAAGCCCTCCATTTTCAAATTCCCTATCAACCTTTAACCTCTAATGTTTTTAGTATCCATTGATAATTTTTTGCCTTGTCCATTATTTGCAACCATTTCTTCTGAATATATTAGTTGTCATTATATATAAACAAGAACGTCCTATTTAGTGCCCCATGAAATAAGATTCTTATAAGAAATGCAAGCTAAAACTTCCTTTTCTATTATATGTTAGTTTGCAGCCTCCCCAGGAGACTAATGAAGATTTTTTTTTAAAATGTTATTATTAATTCATAGATTTTTATGTAGTTTATGTGCTTTTTGTTCATTGCGGTAATTCTTCTTGATGCATATTGGCTTTTGTATCCCCACTAAAAGATTCTCTAGGCTTATCTTATACATTGTTCATTTCCTGTCCCAGACCTCTCTTAACCCTATCTGCAAGGTGTCCTAGTTTCTTTTTGTGGGAAGAGGCTTTTTTAGAGGCCACAATGTGGGTACAGGGAAAGCTTATTGTTGCTCGGCCTTTTTAGTGGACAGACCTTGAAAACACACACACACACACACACACACACACACTCTTTAAGATTTACAAAAAGGCATAATTTTATATTGATATTTCTAATTCCAATTTAAGTTTATAAGGCTTTTACTCTGTGACTTATTTTTTTTCCTTTACATTAAAAAGTTGTGTTCCTAAGGATATTAACATACTTTCTTGCTTGCTTTGTCCTACAATGTATCTGTATGAGTTTTAAAGTAATAGCAATAGATTAATTCTAACAATATAACTACTGAATGCTATTTAAGATTTGTTGTTTTTTATTCTTAGATTGTATTTCAGTGGTATGTATAGTAAAAATTCTGTTTTAAAGTTGCTTGAAGTAATTTTTCTCTGTTTGTAGTTTTACCACCAGCTTGATACACATTAGGGTTTTCAGTTTTAGGAATTTCTTTGTTTCTCTTTTTTATATAGTTTTCAAAAAATGGATGAAAGTAAACTTCATAACAATGTATATTCACAGGAATCTCACTTTTCATTTTTCTTTTTTTTTTTAAATCCTCACCTGAGGATATTTTTTTAAATTTATTTTTAGTCAGAGTGTGTGTGTTTGTGGGTGGGGGCAGGGAAAGAAACAAACATCTATGTGAGAGAGATGCATCAACTGGTTGCCTCCCTCATGACCCTGACCAGGGCCAGGGACCGAACCGCAACTGAGGTACTAGCCTTGACCGTAATTGAACTCGCGTCTCTTTGGTCTGCGGGCCGACACTCTAACCACTGAGCCAAACCGACCAGGGCCATTTCTCTACTCTTTTCCATCTTTCTCTATAAATAACTATTTTCATTAGCTTTTAATTTATCCTCCATAGTTTTTAAATATTAGCAAACACGTACATATTTATGGACATACATTTGACATAGTCCATTCTTAAACACTCTTCTTTACTTAGACTTTTAAAGTTAATATATATGTGTTCTCATCCCATGGCAGTACTATGAGAATTGTCATCATTCCTTTTTTACAGTATTAAAGTTCTTTCCTAACCCTTATTCACTGACTTTTGGGTGTTTTATCACATGACTTTGGGAGCCAGTGACTATTAGTGGGAAGGGAAAAGGAAGGCAATAAATGTTTATCAAACTATGTGTCATTTTCTCTGTCAGGTAGGAATTTTTTCCCTAAAGAGGAGCAAATTGAAATTCAGTAAGGTATAGTAACATACTCCAGATCACATGGCCAATTAGAGAGAGATCCATTCATAGTTCGGGATATAACTCTGGGACTAATGTTTCTCTTTCTAATAGAGCAAGAATAAGTGATCTAGCATTTCAGTGGTTGTTAGGCTGTTCATATGGATGATTTTTAATGTAATATTTCAGAGGGTCTTGTTTGTTCTTGGTATTTTGTTTTTGGATGGCCCTTAAGAACCTGATTTAAGAAAAAAGTCACTCTTTGCTTTTAAGAAAACAATATGTAGAATACTTAAGTATACAATCAGTACTGTTAATAAAAATGGGAATTTAAAATTTATCCAGAATCTGAAACAACTGATCTTGCTATTCAAACTATATAGTTATTTAAATCATTTTCAGAAAGACCAGATTTATTGCATATATTTTCCTTCAACTTTAACCTGAAACAGATACCTAGAACATCTGTTTAATGTTAAAATGGCTAATTTGCAGTCAGAAAATTTATTTCTATTCTCAGATTTCTTTTAATTTACAGGGGTTATAAATTTCCTTTCTCTTTCTCGTCTCTCAACTATACGCTAGGAAATTCTTTCTCTTGAAAATGTATTATCCTAAATTTAACCAAAATTTTTTTTTCTATTCTAGTTTGGGAATACCTGCTACTGCAATTCAGTTCTTCAAGCACTTTATTTTTGTCGTCCATTTCGGGAAAAAGTTCTAGCATACAAGAGTCAACCTAGGAAGAAGGAGAATCTTCTTACGTGCTTAGCAGATCTGTTTCATAGCATAGCCACCCAGAAGAAAAAGGTTGGAGTTATACCTCCCAAGAAGTTCATAACAAGATTACGGAAAGAAAATGGTAATTTTTTTTTTTACTTCTGAACGTGTTTCTTACTTAACAGGAAGTTTAAATACAGCATACTGCAATTCAGCAAGCATTGCCTGAGCATCTTCTTTATGCCAGATGATTATTAGATGTTGAAGAATCAAAGGTGATGTTCCCATCTTTAGGGCAGGCTAGTTTAGTGAGGAGATGATCAAACAGTAATTAATAGATGAGCTGTGATTTTTTTTTTTTTTTTTATCCTCACCCGAGGATATTTTTCCATTTTTTGTACAGATAGAGTGGGAGGGAGAGAGAGGAAGAGAGAGAGAGTGAGAGAAACATCGACGTGAAGGGACACATCAAGTGGCTGCCACCCGCACGACCAACCAGGGCCGGGGACAAACTGCAACCGAAGTACGTGCCCTTAGCGGGAACCGAACCCGGGTCTCTCCGGACCGCAGGCCGACGCTCTAACCGCTGAGCCAAACCGGCCAGGGCGAGCTGTGATTTTTTGAAGTGTGTTATACAACGGTCAGAATCTATATGCCAGGCAAAGAGAAATTATAAATTTTTTTCTTGGCTTTTCTAGCAAGAATGAAGCCCCCCCCCCCCACACACATTATTATTTATTTGTTGTTTTTGTAATGCTTTTATGTACTTAACTCATTTAATCCTTATAATAGTCTGACGCGCAGAGCGTGTTCCCCCACCTTGGCCGTGAAGACAGCAAGCTGCCAGCCTTGCCAGGAGCTGCACCCTGGGAGGGAAGAGCCAGAGCAAGAAATCAGACTTTCCGGCTTGGGATACATAGCTTTAGCCAACCTCCCTCTTTTTAAAAATAGTTACTGATTAAACCCCACTTCCCTTTTCTCATAATATTTTTAGTTTAATTTTTACAATAAGCCATAACTCAGGCCCATAAGTTAGACATTGTTATGCTTTAATGAGATAACTGAGGCTCAGAGAAGTTAAGGTAACTTGTCAGGGTCCCTCACTTCTCCCTGGCATCTAAGCTGCCTCAAAAAACTCCAGGGGGATTTAAATAATTTATAAAATCCGGGTTTTGTTTAAGGTGGGCATTTCAGTCCTTGTAGATATAAAATTGTGTGGTATTTTTAGTTTAATTTTGTGATCAAAGAGAAAGCTATCTGCAGAAATATGATTTGAGAAGTCTTTTAAGGTTGGTTATTAAACACAACTGGGTAGTCCTGCCCTTAACTCAGTTGACACTGTTCATTATCACTTGAATTGAGATAAGCCTGGGTCATATTTTATTTTCTAAATCACAAGAAGATGCTGGAATAATGTGTCTGTAGTCTATTATTCTTGCACCTGGTACATGTTAAAGATTTTGTTCATTTTCTCCATATGCAAAAAATAGACTAGTTGATTAATTGCTCACCAAAATTTATCTTCATTGTGTTTCTCTGATGAAAGCTAAACATTTTATTTTCTTAGATTACAGATCTGTTTAGTATCTTATGTTTTTAAGAAAGCGAAATGTAGCTCTGTTAGAATGTGGACTGAGTGATTTCAGATCTTTTGCTATAAAACTTTTAAAATTTTGGTAGAAAAGTCATGTACATGATAATTGAACATGCTGTCCTCAGTGATTTTTGTTAGTGTTTTAGAAACAGTTAACATCAGAAACATGAAACTCACACAGAACATACATTATTTTCCTTTTTATCTAATAGTACATTTTTTTCTTGACCTTATTATTTAATATATTGCATGTGCTCTGCCTTAGTTTGGGCTGCTATTACTCTAGACTAGGTGGCTCAAACAATAAAACATTTATTTCTAACATTTCTAAAGGCTGGGGAGTTCAAGATTAAGGTGCTGGCAGATTTAGTGTCTGATAAGCACCCTCTTCCTGGTTTGCAGACAGCTAGTCCCCTTCTTGCTGTATTGTCAGTGTGTGTGTGTGTGTGTGTGTGTGTGTGTGTGTGTGTGGAGAGAGAGAGAGAATCTCATGTCTCTCCTTATAAGGGCACTAATCTCAGCTCTCAAGACCTAAATGACCTTCCACAGGCCCTATTTCCAAATAATATGACACTGGTGATTAGGGTTTCAACATATGATTTTAGAGGGGACACAATACATGCAGTCCATAACATGATCTGTAAGTGTACAATGATTTTTAAAAATTTTCGATAGACTCTCATGTTGAACACAGAGTTCAAGTTACTGTGTTTTGTAAGTTCTGTGGGCTTATATACCCATGGCTTTATATATATGCCTCTCAAAACTCATATAAAAAACAGTGTTTATCATGTTTTAATTGTTTAATGTTTTCTGAATTTTTTGTGTTTAGGCAGAATAAATTAGTGCACAGTAGACTTCTTAATACTTTGTTGAGTGAGACTGATTCCAGAGTAAATATTCCAGACCCATTTCATATTTCTGTGCTTCAGAAACAATATTTAATGGAAAAGACTTTTTATTATTTTGATGCTGCTGGCATTTGTAACTATGTTTGAAAATATGTTTTTGGCTTTTGAACTTTTTCTCAATAAGATGAGCATACAAATTAAAGAGGATTTCATGGGTTATCCATTGCATAACTTTACTTCTGAGATTTTGTTGGCTGATTTGTTTTAAATCTCTGTAAAAAATATATTGCCCATTTCAGTATTTCCACTAAGTTTCACTGTTGTACTGTTCTTCTTAAATCAGTTTCCTTCCATGTTATGTTAAAAACTTCATGCTTTATGTTCTCTGTAGAAACTAGCTCCATATTTTTAAACTACTATTGCCTTATATAACTAATCATTTTTATATCCCTTGGAAAGAATCTAATTTTAGTAATGAATTTTTGTCTTTAAAATTTGTGTCACCCAGTCATAGCATAAAAGGACTGTGGCACAGTGCTCCTAAGTGCAGTGTGATCAGACGTGCCCCATACATCTTTGATGATGCGAAACTAGCTGAAAATTTGAATTAATTATTATATATTTAGTTCCTACTGTGTGCAAGGTGCTGTCCAGAACTAGGGATATAGAAATAAGACAAAGCTTCTGCCTTCAGGGAGCTGACATTCTAATGGGGAAGACAGACAATAAACAGTTATGTAATATAATGTGCCATGGCCATGGTGAAGAATAAAACCACGGACAGGGGAAGAAGGAGGGAGTTGATAAGTGGTGTTAGATTAAAGATTTGAAGTGAGAAAGAAGCCATTAGAAGATCTGAGGCAAAAATCGTCTTAAGCAGATAGAACAGAAATTGCAGTTGCCCTAAGTGCTTAAAGGACATCACGAGGATTAGTGTGGCCAGAGTGGAGTAGGATGCAGATCAGGTTAGAGAGAAAGGCAGGGTCTAGAGTGTGGATTTTATTTTGAAAGGTATGGGAAGTCATTGAGGGTTGTGGGCAGGTGATATGTTCGGATCTGCTTTAAGGAAGGGCCCTCTGGCTGCTGGGTGGCCACTCTGTGGGAATGGGTGGGCAGGGTAGCATGAGACAAAGCAGGGAGATCAGGTAGGTGTTGCGGTGGGTCTAGGTAAGAAATGAAGCCATCTGTTTAAAATTAGTAATTTCCTCTAGGTTTTCTATTATTTTAAAGAATTAAAATACAGGTTGGTGATCTAATTATATTAGCTAGAGTTGACCCACCTGGGGAGTATGAGATCATTTATGTGTATCAGATCAGATGGCATCTACAGCTGTGCTCCAATTTACATAGTTAAGATTGTTGTTTTGGGCCATATTTACTCTTCTCATGTAGTTTTTTAGCTGTTTCAACCCCTATTGTTCCTCATTAGTTTGTTCATTCATTCAAAAAATGTCAGTTCCATCTACTATGTGGCAGGCATTGTTCTAAGTGCTGGGGATACAGCTGTGAATGAGACAGAAAGGGCCTAGTCTCAAGTAACCTGTGTGTGTGTGTGTATAAAAAACAATGTTTCAGGTCTGTGGAGAGATACAAATATAAATGTGTGTGTGTGTGTGTGTTTTCAGGTGTTTTCAGGAATATTAGTTATTCACAAATAACACTTACTAAATATATTTGAGTAAATAATTTTCCGTGTTCATTTCAGTCGTTTTTCTTCAAAAGACCATGAAAGATATTTTTGTGTAATGAACTCTGGCTATTTCTGAATTATAAAAAAACATAACTTAATTTTTAAGAAATGATTCTGTCATCATCTTTTTTTTTGCATTAATATTGTAGCTGTCTCAGGACTATAATAGTTTATACATTTATTTAATAATGAAATTGTCTGTCTCTCCCACTAGACTGTCAGTTCCATGATGGAGGGAACCCATTTGTTTTTGCTCACCATTGTATTCCCAGCACATAATCCAGTTCCTGGCACATAGTAGGTGCTTACTAAATATTTGTTGAGTGGTGAGTGAGAGTGAATGAATGAATGAATTTGTTTAATTTTCCAAAGCAAATTTGAAATCCACCATTCCTGTTATGCTACTTAGCAGAGGAGAAAGCAAACTATAAGAAAACCAAGACTGCCCTGGCCGGTTTGGCTCAGCGGTTAGAGCGTTGGCCTGCGGTCCTGAGAGACCCGGGTTCGGTTCCCGCTAAGGGCATGTACCTCGGTTGCAGTTTGTCCCCGGCCCTGGTTGGTTGTGCGAGTGGCAGCCACTCGATGTGTTCCTTTCGCATCGATGTTTCTCTCTCTCTCTCTCTCTGTTCCTCTCACTCCCTCCCACTCTACCTGAACAAAAAATGGAAAAATGTCCTTGGGTGAGGATAAAAAAAAAAAAAAAAAGAAAACCAAGATTTTTAAAACAAAATTTAATACAGTTTACAGGGATTATCCTGAGGCCATTTAGTTGATGTTTTGGTGTTTATGAAGTCCTGGTTGAGGTTTTAAAAACTAGTGGCTATTCTCAGACAGTACAAGAATCTGGCATATTTATAGAAAATACACTGTGTATTAAGTATCTCAACAAAACACTAAAAGAGTATTTTCTGGTTTACTTTGCATCTCATTTCTGTTGCTTTCAAGTCAGTTGCAGTATTTCTGTGAATATGAGGTCATTGTTCTCTGTTAAACAGAGAACATCCAGAAAAAGATGTTTCAGGTTTTTTTAAAAAAGATATTTTCATAGTTTTACTTTTTCTTTTGAAAAACATGCTTATATGCTAAAATATTTTTTTAACAGGGAAAAATAAGACTTTGTGGCATTGAGCCATCATTTAGATACATATCCACTATAGTGAATTATTCGACTCTCACCTTAACTAGGCAGTGTTTATAAAAGCTTCTTACTGGTCCTCTCCCATCATCCTTCTTTTTTAGGTCTCTCCATGACTTTTCCAATTTGTTCCACTTTTCTTTCTTTCTTTCTTTTTTTTTTTAATCCTCAGCTGAGGATATTTTTCTATTTATCTTCAGATAGAGTGGGAGGGAGAGAGAGAGAGAAACATCAATGTAAGACACATTGAGTGGTTGCCACCCACACAACCCTGACCAGGGCTGAGGACGAACCGCAACCGAGGTACATGCCCGTGGCTGGAATTGAACCTGCAACTCATTGATCTGTGGGCTGACCGGCTCTAACCACTGAGCAAAACTGGCCAGGGCTGTTCCACTTTTCTTAAGTCCCCTAGTCAATTCTAGCATAATTTCCTTCTCGTGGTCCTTATTATTTTTTTTAATCCTCACCTGAGGATATGTTTTATTGATTTTTTTTTTTTTAAGAGGGAGAGAGAAACATCATTATTAGAGAGAAACATTGATCGACTGCTTTCCATATGTGCCCCGACTGGGTATTGAACCCGCAACTTAGGTATGTGCCCTGACTGGGAATCAAACCCGCAGCTTTTTAGTGTACGGGATGTTGCTCTAAATGAGCCACCAGGCCAGGATCTGCCAGTCCTGTTTTAATGGGCCCCTCCTGAGGTGGGTGGTTCTATATCTGTGACCTGGGGTGAAGAGTGAGAGAGAAGAAAGCTTTTGATCTTGAAGGGGTTCATGTGCACATAAGGAAGCTGCCTAAACACTGCAAGCGGCAAGGTTGGTGCAGGAGTTGGGATGGACAGAGAAACCATGAGTCAGGCCATCTGTGGATGAGTGGGGGCAGTTTGGCAGGTGACTGCAGAGATAGGGCTGTGAAGGGTAGTATGGCCAGAGCTTAGGAGCTTTTTTGATTGAGGGTGAGTTTTTTGTTTTGTTTTTTATCCTCACCTGAGGACATTTGTGCATTTATCTTCAGATAGAGCAGGAGGGAGAGAGGGAGGAAGAGAGAGAGAGAGAGAGAAACATCAATGTGAGAGAGATACATCGAGTGGCTGCCACCCACATGACCCCCACCAGGGTCGGGGCCAAACTGTAACCAAGGTACGGGCCCTTAGCAGGAACCAACCCGGGACTCGGATCTGCGGGCTGACGCTCCAACCGCTGAGCCAAACCCACAGGGTGAGGGTGAGTTTTATCTGCAAGGAAGAGTGTGGTTGTTTAAAAGTGGCAGCAGGAAGCTAGAAAATGCCAAAAGTTGAAGAGCTAGGGAGTTTCGAACAGAAAGTGGTTCCTAGAAGGAACAACATAAAGGTTTATGAAAGAAGAAAGTCCCTAGGCTGAGGAAGGAAATAAAGTACAGTGTGAATATGAGCAGTGGGGAACAGGAGACTGGGGTTGAGGGGTGGGGTAGTATTTCAGGGATGGAGGATTATATTGAGAGGCAAGGTTAAAGGTAATTGACTTCTGTTATTTCAACTTCTGCCTAGATTGATCCAGTGGTTGAACCACCTGAGGGCTCCAAACATGACTTGGCTTGATCTCAGAGATGTGGTGGGTGGCGGGGAGGTTTTGCAGAGGTGCAGGCTGTCTCTGTGTTGGGGGTAGTGCAGTGACTTTGTGAGGGCAGGGGTGGGGAATAGTGTCACAGTGCTTTGAATTTACTGCCCCTCATGGGCAAACACCATTGGACACGTGGCATACCAAATTAAGGATCAGTTATGTAAGTTCATGTAGGCTAAAGCAATAAGTTGTAGAACTCAGGACTTTTATTCTTAAAAATAACATAGGGAGTTTGTTTAAGGCTAATCAAATCCCTTAGGAAAAATTTATAGCAGAGAAATTGAGTGTGGCTTCAATTTCGTTTTTAATATTATTGTATTTGATTTGCAGTCCAACAGAGAGGTTAAGTAAATTGCCTGTGAACTGTGACAATTAAGAGGTGGACACATAATATGAATCCAGTTTTGCACCTTAAATGTGATACTTTTTATTTATGATACCTGGTCTTCTTGACACCAAGATTAAACTCATGCTTTATTTTCTTTTCATACGTCTCCCAGAGAAATAATTTCACTTGTGCCCATTTTATTTTTGCAGTAACCTTTCAAAAGAAGATGGTATTCCATTTTATAGATAGGAAAATCAAGACTTGATTACTGTGAGGGTTGAACGTTTTCTCATGTATCTTAACTTTTTAAATTTTATTTCTATAAATTGTTGATTTCAGGTCCTTTGCCCACCTTGCTTTTTCTTTTGTGTAAGCTCTTTATATATAGAGGATGCTAATAATTTTCAGGTTTCACTGTTTCTTATTAATTTTTAAATTATTTCTAATGCGTAGAACTTAATTTTATGCAGTCATATCTGTACCTCTTCTGAAATGTAATTTTTAAATTCCTTTCATCTTAGACTCTCCCTAAATTTTCTTCTAAATGTGTATTCTTGTATTTAAAAAATGTAAACTGTACTCTTTCTGGAATTTATTAAATGTGCATTGAGGATCTGAAGGTGAAATTTCCTAACTAGGTAATTTTTTTTAATAGACATATATATATATATATTTTTTAAAATTGATTTTAGAGAGAGAAGGGAGAGGGAGAGAGAGAAACATTGATTGGCCGCCTCCTGCATGCCCCCCACTGGGGATTTGGCCCACAACCTGGGCATGTGCTCTGACTGGGAATCGAACCCACGACCTCTTGGTTGATGTTCATCCACTGAGCCACACCAGCCGGGCTAACTAGGTAATTTCTCAATGTAGTGTTGACCAAGCCACAGGTGCTCTGTGTGCTTGGCTCACACTCTAAGCTTGTGTGCAGCTTGGTGGAGTCGGACTGCCTGGTCTGAATATCGTCTCTGCTGTTTCCTGGCAGTGTGAGTTTACTCTCTCTGATTCCAGTTCTATTTCCCTGTTTGTAAAATATATAACGCCAGTAACAGTATCATAGGGTTGTTAAGATCAAATGAGTTTCCGCCTCTAAAAACCTTATTATTCAATTTTAGAGTTGTATAATGTCAAGCACAGGGTAAAACACTTACTGTTAGCAACTGTCAGTATTTCCATTAAAATTATTCATTTGTATAACTACAGGGAATATTTTCTGCAGTTATAAAATCACACATTTAGAAAAGTCCTTAGAGATGATCTCAATTAAACAGGTAATTTCTGATACCATTATTTCTTAGAGCTGAATGCACATCAGAGTTACCTGGAGGAGTTTCTGGAAGTCTGGGTTACAGGCCTCCCCTCCAGCTTACTTACTAAGTCAGAATCTCCACGGTGTATGGCCGCTCATTTATAATTTTGACATACTTTTTGTGTGGTTCTTATGCATTTGGCCTGACAGCAGCAAGAGGTTATCCAGCTTCTTCTTAAAAACTTGGCATGTTGTAATATCTCTGAGATAATAGGTTAGATGAGCTAATAAAAAGTAATTTTCTTGTCTTCCTAGTACATTATGTAAAATGTATGAGGATGGGTTTTGCCCTTTCCTCGGGTATCAGTTAATACTATTTAAAAAAAAAAAAATGAGTCTCGTTCATTTTAACTTTATTTCCCCAAATTCAGTCATAAGTTTTAGATGTGAAAGATATTTCTTGTAAATTACTAACACTACCAAACTTTTTTACTTAGCTCTGATGGAATACTAGATACTCTTTTTTATTTATTTATTTATTTATTTATTTTGGTACAGATAGAATGGGAGGGAGAGAGAGGAAGGGAGAGAGAGTGAGAAACATCGACGTGAAGGGACACATCGAGTGGCTGCCACCCGCACGACCAACCAGGGCCGGGGACAAACTGCAACCGAAGTACGTGCCCTTAGTGGGAACCGAACCCGGGTCTCTCCGGACCGCAGGCCGACGCTCTAACCGCTGAGCCAAACTGGCCAGGGCTAGATACTCTTTTAAATTTAGCTTTTTAATGAAGTTATTAATTTTGAAATAATTCTCTAATATATTTTTATTTTTAGAACTTTTTGACAACTACATGCAGCAAGATGCCCATGAGTTCTTAAATTACCTACTAAATACAATTGCTGATATTTTACAAGAAGAGAGAAAGCAGGAAAAACAAAATGGCCGCCTACCTAATGGTAACATTGACAGTGAGAATAACAACAGCACACCTGACCCAACGTGGGTTCATGAAATTTTTCAGGGAACATTAACTAATGAAACCAGATGTCTTACTTGTGAAACTGTAAGTATATTGTGACATTTTGTATAGAAAAATATTTAATTAGTTATGTAAAAGTTCTTTGAAGATAAGTATGAGAGATAAATTTGGAAGCTGCAATTCTTAGGTGTCGAATAAATGTTAAAGATGGACTTGTCAGTCGAAAATAATCTCTCTACACATTGTCATAATACTGCTTATGTGAACACTTGTGGGGACAGAAAAATAGTTATTGCATTTTGAGCTATTTGATTTTGTTTCAGTTTAGAAGACCATAGACCCTTGTCTGGAAATAATGTCTTAGTTAATCTTGTAAGAATCGTATAGGTCAGGGAGGTATATTATTTTATTTTTCCTCTTCTTCAGTTACATTTATTTATGGTTGGAATAAAAACTAAAACATACTGTGTACACTTGAAGAGGGGAAAATACCCACTCGCTGGATACAGTGTGTCCCCTTACTCACTGGGGAATGCATTCCAAGACCCCCAGTGGCTGATGGGAAGCATCTTTTCATGTGCTTATTTGCCATTTGTATATCTTCTTTGGTGAAGTGTCTGTACAGGTCTTTTCCCGAGTTTCAAAATTGGGTTATTTTCCTGTTGTTGAGTTAAGAGTTCTTTGTATATTTTGGATACCACTCCTTTATTAGATATGTCTTTTGCAAACATTTTCTCCCAGTCTGTGGTCTGTCTTCTCATTCTCTTAACAGTCTCTTTGGCAGATCAGAAGTTTTTAACGTATCAATTTTAAGATTTTAATATTAGTAAAGTCCAATTTTTTTTCTTTGTGGAAATGTTTTCGGTGTTATATCTAAAAAGTTTTCACCAGACCCAAGGTCATCTTGATTTTCTCCTATGTTAATCTTTTAGGAGTTTTATAGTTTGCATTTTATAATTCGCTTTGAGTTAAATTTTGTAAAAGGTTTAAGGTCAATGTCTAGATTTTTTTTTTCATGTGGATATCAAGGTGTTCCAGCACCATTTGTTTGGAAAAGAAAAGCATAACCCACACCAATAATGATCCATTGAGTGTTTATTGATTGATCTTTTTAACTATAACTTGGCATTTACAGATTGATCATTATCAATAATGTGATTTTAATTAATGAAGGACCATAGTAATAGTAAATAAATAAAATTCCCCTTTCTAAGTAATTTTTTTTTTTTTATCCTCACCCGAGGATATTTTTTCATTTTTTGTACAGATAGAATGGGAGGGAGAGAGAGGAAGGGAGAGAGAGTGAGAAACATTGACGTGAAGGGACACATCGAGTGGCTGCCACCCGCACGACCAGCCAGGGCCGGGGACAAACTGCAACCGAAATACGTGCCCTTAGCGGGAACCGAACCCGGGTCTCTCCGGACCGCAGGCCGATGCTCTAACCGCTGAGCCAAACTGGCCAGGGCTCTAAGTAAATTTTTAATGGTAAGCTTCTTTCAGATCAAGTGAAAGAGGTATGATTGAGTGTTTAAATACATTAATAGTCCATGAAGATGTTTTGGGTGAGAGGAAGAATATCTTTGGTGTGTGCTCTGTTCATTGCAACCATCAGTTCACTGTAGTATGGCTTTGACTGGTCAGTGTTTGATGTTGGGGAGTGGGCTCAATACTCATCTTTATTCAGTGTAATCAACTTTAAATTTTATTGAATTAATAGGGGTGACATAGATTAATAAAATTGTATGTGTTTCCAGGTGTATGCTTCCATAATGCATCACCTGTATATTGTACTGTGTATTCACTCACCCCAAGTCAAGTTTCCTTCCATCACCATTTATCCCCTCTTTATCCTCTTCTACTTCCCTCCAGCCTCCTTTCCTTCTCAACTTCACTTATTTTAACATGAGTTTTTTTGATGTATCTGATAAAGGAAAAATTGTGTTGTAACTGAATTCTAAGTATTAGAAAACATATTGCCAAATTATTAGAGCAATATTTTAATTGGAATAGTAGTTGGAAATTAGAGAATTTGGCAGTTGCTTGGTTTTTAGTATAATGGAATGTGGTCTGTGCTGGAAGATACGTATCATTCAACCTTCGATGAAATAGAACATAATTGAATTTGCTTAGTGTGTTGAGAAATGTAGTAGTAGGTGAAGCTGGCAAGGTAGATTTGGGACTCTGTGTGGCAGTCTTTGAGATGCTATGCTAAGGACTTTGAAGTTTATTTTGTAGATGGGATGTTGTGGGACGGGGAAAAAGTTATATCAGCCATTCTTGTTAGTGATCAAATATTTATTAATTTGATTTGTAATGGGTAGTGACTTGTCCTTCTGTTCTTCACTAGGACCTCCTCTGGCCTATAATATATACTTGCAGGGTATGAATTGAGAAATTTCTTCTCATAATCTAAGCTGTCATGTTGCAGATTCAGGTGATGTTCATTAGAACCAAACTAATGATACCATTTCTTCATTTAGTTTTGCACAAATATTTAAGTACCAACTATGCCAGGTTAAAAATGGGTAGAGGTTGGGGAAAGATGAATAAGACATGATTTCTGGTCTCAAGATGCTCCTAGCGTCGTGATGTCTGCTCAACAACTAGTCAGGCAGACCCAGCACAGTGTACATGGTTTAGGGAAGCACAAGATGCCACGGAGCCAGAGAGCAGTAGACCTAATCCCGGTAGGAGTGAGAAGCATTTGGGAAGGTTTGGGATGGGCTTCCTGGAGAAGACAGCGCTTGCATGGAGGATTAGTAATGCAGTTGTTACTATCCTAGCTGCTTCTCTAACAACATCCCCTTCAGGTGTTCGTCTGTGTTTTGTGATGCTTCCTTCTTGGTATCATCTTTCACTTGGCTTTTCTTCTTTCACTTATCCTTTTCAGGTAGGTATCCTCCAGAGTTTCATTTTGGGCTGCCTCTCACTCTGTATTGGGAGGCTCATGTTCCATTTTCATTACCACCTGTGCTGATGATTCCCCAGTTCAACTTGTTCACTGAAGTTTAGACCTGTATCTCCCAGATACGGTGTGATCGCACATTGGGACATAGCAGCCCAGCAATAACCAGACGTGTTTACAAACACTTCAAATTAAATACTGCCCCACTTGGTGATCACCCAGCACCAACACAATTGTGACACAAACATAGTAACTCAGATACATCCAGATGATCCACAGCATCCTTATGTCAGGTCTTTTATGTTACTATAAAAATGAAATTTTAAGATGAAGACCCCTGAGGCAGTGCCTGAAAACCACAGACCTCATTTTGAGAAACACCAGACTCTTTCATCTTTATTTGTCTTTAGCCCTGCTGATCTGCTATAAAGCTAATCTGATATAAAGCCCTGCCTGATCTGATGAACCTACCTCTTCCACACTGCCTCTTGTCACCCTACCCACTTTTCTACAAAACCGGGCTAATTATTTTTCCTTAAACACATTGTGTTCCCTTTCTTCTCTTACCTGTCTTTTCCCCCCTTCTTTTTCATGGAATCTTTCGAGACTCAGATAAGTTATCCTGCAGCAGTGTATACACATACTCCTGTTTATTCGTATTTGCATAAGAATCTAGAATATACAGTTATATAATGTCACAAGCTAATGAAACTGAGCTTATAGCAGTGATGCAGTATTGAAACGAGAAAGCAATTTACTGGATTGGGTATGTAGTCATTGTGGGTGAGGCACAGGGGAACTGAGTCAGACTTTTCTTGTATTTGCATGGTCACCTTGGACATGGAGTCACTGAAGGAGGAAATAGCAAGGAAAATTGATGTCTAAAGTTCTGGTCTAATCCGATTCAAATGAATAAGTAATAACTACTTTTTATAAGGTGATTTGCCCATAAGTCAAACAGAATTTTATATTAGGTTTTTTTGAGAAATTAAAGGTCGTAAATGAAGTTTAGTATTTGGCATTTTGGGCTAAATTATTTTCTTAAATGATAGAACGATACAGGTGTCATGCCTTTGCCAAGCATTCTCATTCAGTCTCGGTCCACTTGTAGTTTAAGAATTGGTGTTTATTTTGTGCTTTGCAACGACACCAAGACTTTGGAAAGTAATGGCATTTCACATCATACTGGCCTTTGCCAGCAAGAGAGTCAATCACTGGTGTACTTTGGAGTTTTACCTGTACAGATAATGAGAGTTATTTATTCAGTATTCTTTTGTATAATTCAAATCAAGTCATTTTCTTTTGAACTTGGGGAAAAGTAATTCTTCATACACTTACTATTAATATTAGAATGCATTCAGTTCTATCATTTTGGAACAGTGGTTTAATTATATTTGAAAAAAAATCAAAGGTAATTCCATATTTTTACAGATAAGCAGCAAAGATGAAGATTTTTTAGACCTTTCTGTTGATGTGGAACAAAATACATCAATTACTCACTGTTTAAGGTAAGTGTAGAGTTATCCATTGTGAAATTTAATGAATATCTTTGTATAAAGTATTCGTAAATGACTACATGATTTTCTGGTGTAGACAAAATTAATTTCTTTATAATTTTACACAGGGGTTTTAGCAACACAGAAACTCTATGCAGTGAATACAAATACTACTGTGAAGAATGTCGCAGTAAACAGGAAGCACACAAACGGTAATTTAGTGTTTTTGGAATTTTTTAGTGATTCTTTGGCAGTGGATGTTACAGATGGGCTTTTCTAGCTGAAAGTGATCTATGAAAATTTACACTGAATAAAAATTCTTAATTTTATTACCAACTGTTTAGACTCATTAATTTACTAGATAAAGAGTATTCAACTCTAACTTCAGTGATTTTTCTGCACTTAGTGATTGCTAAATAGCCATGAACCAGTACAGTTAAAGTATTTGGCTTGGAAGCCTTCTTGACTATGGTGAGGGAAAAGGATTTTTTTCCAGCTCCACCCTAGTTTCTGCAATTCCTATAGAGGATTTTGTACCTTCTCTTAGTATATCATTATAAAGACTGGAGTTGGTACTAAGGAAAGGAGTGATCATCTTCGTCCTTGTTATTTTACTTTGTATTTTGAAACAGTCTCAGACTCAGAGAAAAGTCGCAGGAACAGTACCAAGAATGCTTTTTCACCCTAAACCATTTGAAAGTAAGGTCCTGATGTGATGTCATGATCCTAGACACTTTAGTAGATATTTCCTACCAATAGGGAAGTTTTCCTGTGTACCGTATCTATTTTCCTGTGTATCTATCCAAGTCAGGAAAGTAACACTGGCACATTACTGTTATCATAGACCTGGCTTTCGTATCACCAGATGTCCCAATAATGTCCTTTAGAGAAAGGGGGATCCAGTCCAGAGTCACACGTTGCATTTAGTATTCCCGTCTCTCTAGTTTTTTACATTTGGAACTGTTCCTTAGTCTTTTCTTGACTTTAATAATCTTGATGCTTTTCAGAATTACAGATTAGTAATTATGTAGAATGTTCTTCTTGGGGCTCATCTTATGTTTTCTAAAATTAGGATCAGATTATGTATTTGGGGCAGGGATCTTGCAGAGGTGATGCTGTGTTCTTATTGTATCCTGTTGAGTGGCACATTGTTTTGATTAGTCTTGTGTCGGGTTTTCCCAAAACCACTTCCGGATTTGATGGTCACTAGAAGGACTCACAGGACTCCGCATGTACAGTCATGTTCACAGCAAAGGTTTGTTACAGGGAAAGGTGACAAAAGTAGTCAGCAGGGAAAGCCAGGCCAGCTCCCAAGAGTTTTGTTTCAGTGGAGTCACACTGGACACACTTAATTCCTCCGGTGTTCTGCATGAACCGTACTGTTTGTCCAACAATTTCAGCACATTGAGACACCCTTCTCATTTAGGGAATGGTGGGACTACTCTCCAAATCCAAGTTCCCAGCAGTTGACACTGGACCGTCCTTGCATGCAGGCCTTTCCATCCAAGGATTGTGAGGGCTGTTGTTAACTGTTTTCTTCACAACTCAGTTACTGATGCTGTTGTCTTTGAACACTTGATTATAGTGATGTCTCCTAGAATTCTCCGCTGCAATGTATGCTTTTCCCCTTTTGTAATTTGTATTTTGTGGATGTATTTTGAAATTCCTCATCAAACGTTTAATTTTCTTTTTTTTTAAATCTCTGTGTGGATTCAAACATTCCTATTTTTTAGTGGATTATGATCCATTACCATTTTTATTTATTTTCATGTTCATATTATCCCTGATTTGGCTAGTAGGAGCTCCTTCAAGCTGACTTTTGTGTCTTTTGCATACGACCCATCATTCTTAAGCACTACTTTCTAGCACAAGATTTTCCAGGCTCATTTTGTACTTTCTTTGCCCCTCCCCTGATATCTGCCATGTCTCTAAGGAGCCCTTCTTCCTCTTACGGAGAGAATGATGTTTAGGAACCAGGACCTTGGTACAGGTATGCTCACTGATATTGGGATGTCTCAGTTCCTGAGCCCCCTTAATGAACAGAGGTAGAGAAGATGCGTGGATGTGTATACACATATGTATTCATACACATAGACACCTGTATTACTTATACATTGATCTGTCTATATTGAAAAGCCAGTGTTTCCCATTTCAGTCAATACTATAGGGCTCATTCTACTTATTTTCCTTTTTAATATTTTAATATTGTGATACCCTTCTCTGACAGTAACAATTGGTACCTGTTATCCTAATATATTTACTTATTTGGTATTTAGTCAGTGCCCATGTAGGTAACAAATCTTATCCCCCTCACATATATGCATGCATAACCCTCTCTCATGTAGATGTGTTGCTTACTCTGCTTGGACTTCTTCACTCACCTGCCTGCACAGATGTCTACCTTCTACAGCCTCACTAATAGTTGACCTGAAATATTCATGAAGGGAAGGGAAAGAAATTCAATTTTTAAATGATTATATTTTTGTTTTTGTTTTTGGCACAGACTTTATTTGGAAGGGGATTGTTTTGGTAATGGATACAGGTAATCAAAACAAGACTACTCAATATTCCCTTCAGATGATTAGAGCACCTCAAATAAGTTTGACTAGTGGTATGGGGGCTGATGTATTAGATTAATCCTGAAAATGTTGTAGAAATGCCTAAGACTATTGGTTAAGGAAGGTAGACTCAAGAACTAAATGTAGCTAAAAGGAATGTAATTCCAGCTTTATTGGCTAGATGGAGGAAGGCTCATCTGTAAACATAAGCTGGTCTTCACAGAGCATGACAAGTAATCATACATGACTAACTAGGAATTATCTATAGAGTCAGACTTTTTGTTTTGAAGATACACATGAGATTTTATATATTTAATATTAATCTTTTATTAAATTACATGAGGAATATATGTTCTTTGTACAGTAATTGGAAAATACAGTTAAGTATAAATGACTTAAGAATTATTATTCATGTCCAACCAGTGTGGCTCAGTGGTTGAGCATCGACCTATGCATCAGGAGGTCCCTGGTTCCATTCCTGATCAGGGCACATGCTCGGGTTGCAGGCTTGATCCCCAGTAGGGGGGATATAGGAGGCTGCCAATTGATGTTTCCCTCATCATCAGTGTTTCTATGTCTCTCTTTCTTTCTCCCTTCATCTCTCTGAAATTAATAACAACATAAAATAAAATAAAAAGGCTGAAAGTCACCCTGTTAAAAAAAAAAAAAAAAGTTTCAATCTAGCAAAAACCACATCATCAACTTAGTGGATGCAGAAAAAGCATTTGACAAAATTCAACACCCTTTCATGATAAAAGCTCTCAACAAACTAGGAATAAAAGAAATATACTTCAACACAATGAAAGTCATATGTGAAAAGCCTACAATGAACATCATACTCAACAGTGAAAAACAAAGTTTTTCCTTACAAGATCAGGAACAAGACAAGGATGGCTACTCTCAACATAGTATTGGAAGTTCTAGCCAGAGCAGTTAGGCAAGAAGAAGAAATAAAGGCTTCTAAATCTGAAAGGAAGAAGTAAAATGATCCTTGTTCACAGTTGGCATGATCTTATATGTAGAAATCACAAAACCTTGTTAAAAGTAATAAATTCAACAAAGATGCAGGATACAAAATCAACACACAAAAATCATTTGCAGTTTTGTACACTAACAATGAAAAGTCTGAAAAGGAATTCAAGAAAATAATCCCATTTACAAACCGTCAAAAAATACTTAAGAATAAATTTAAACAGAAGTGAAAGACTTGTGAGAACTATGAAATACTGTTGAAAGAAATTAAGGGAGATACATACAACTAAATGGAAAGATATCCTGTGTTCATGAATTGGAAGACTTATTATTAAAATGGCCATACTGCCCTGGCCAGTTTGGCTCAGCGAGCGGTTAGAGTGTCAGCCTGTGGACTGAAGGGTCTCGGGTTTTATTCCTATCAAGGACACATATCTGGGTTGCAGGTTCGATCCCTGACCCATGCAGGAGGCTACCAATAAAAGGGTTTCTCTCACATTGATGTTTTTCTATCTCTCTGCTCCCTCCTCTTCTACTCTCTAAAAAGAAAAAAATCAATGGAAAAATATCCGCAGGTCAGGATTAACACCAACAACAAAAAAATAGAAACAAATAAAAGGGCTATACTACCCAAAGCAATCTACAGATTCAATGCAATCCCTATCAAAATCTCATTGGCATTTTTTTAAAAAAACTATTCAACATTCATATGGGGAATTTTAAAGGACTCTGAAGAGCCAAAACAGTCTTGAGAAAGAAAAACAAAGCTGGAGGCCATGTACCCCCTGACTTCAAAACATGTTACAAAGCTATAGTAATAAAAACTGTGTGGTACTAGCATAAAGACATGTAGACTAATGGAACAGAAAGAGCCCAGAAATAAATTCACGTATATGGTCAGATGATCTTCAACAAATGTGCCAAGGCTACACAATAGGGAAAGGAGAGTCTCTTCAACAGTGGTGCTGGGAAAACTGCATATCTGTATGCAAAAGAATGAAGTTGCACCTTTATAGCATATACAAAAATTAAGTCAAAATGTATTAAAGACCTAAAACTATAAAACTTCTAGAAAAAAAATATGGGGAAAGTTTTGTGACATTGAATTTGACAATGATTTCTTGATTTTTGACAGCTAAAGCACAAGCAACAAAGCAAAATAGACAGATGGGACTACATCAAACTGAAAAACTTGTACACTGCAAAGGAAACAGACGGAGTGAAAAGTCATAAATGGGAGAAAATATTTGCAGAGTATTTACAGATTGGGAGGAAACATTTGAAAACCAGATATCTCATAAGAGATTAATATCCAAAATATATAAAGAAGTCCTATAGTTCAACAACAAAAAACCAGATCACTCAATTACAAAATGGGCAAAGGTCTTGAATAGACATTTCTCTAGAGAAGATGCACAAATGACCAACAAGTACATGAAAAGATGCTCAACACCACCAACCAGCAGGGACATGCAAATCAAACCACAGTAAGATATTCTAACTGGCTACGATGGCCACAATAAAAAAGAGAAAGAAAATAAGTATTGGTGAGGACATGGAGAAATTAGAACCCTTGTGCACTGCTGATGGGAATGTAAAATGATGTTGCAGTTATGGAAAGTAGTATGGAGGGACCTCAAAAAAATTAAATAAAATTACCATATGATCCTAGCAGTTCCACT